CCCCATCGGGTTCAGCAGGGGTCCAATGTCATCCTTGCTTTTCCCCCTGCTCCCCACATATCTGAAAAAGGACTTTATTCTCCTTGATGCTTGAAGATAGTTGGAGTTCAGCTGCAGCCTTGGCTTTCCTGGTTTGCTCCCTGCAGGATTAGACCAGTGCAGAATATTCCTCCTTGGAGGTGAATCCCATCCTCCATCCTTTGTAGGCCTTTCTTTTTAGCCTCAGGAGGTCTGCTAGATCCCTGGAGAGCCAGTGGGGCTGCTGTGCCCTCTTCCTGCCTTTCACCCGTGATGGAATAGAAATAGCTTGTGTGTTGAGGATCGCTACCTTGAGGAGCAACCACTCTTCTTGGACTCCCCTCCCCCTGGGGTCGTGATCCCTTAGGGCCTCACTGGCAAGCCTCCTGAGCTTGTCAAAGTCAGCTTCCCTGAAGTCAAGGACTTCCGTGTTGCTAACTGACTTGCCAGATTTATGGCGGATGGTGAAGGTGATCGGCTCATGGTCACTGTCACCCAGCTTCCCATTGATGATCTTCCGAGGTCTCTTCCAGCCCTAATGCCTACGAAATCTATGAAATCTATGAAATGTGGAAGTGGGAATTGCTCTACAGCATCACGCAGAGCAATGAGGGGCCCCTTGCAATCCAGAAAGACCCACTTTCTCTAGCAGCTTCCCGCAGCCCAGTGAACCCAAGGAGCAGTGTAGAGGACTCCCCAGTGAAACCCCCTCTCCAGCCCATTACTGAAGGGCATGTAGAAGGGTGCAAGCTCCTGGAACTGACTTTTGTGTCCTAGACTGCCTCAGCAGGTCCTAGACTGCCTCAGCATGGGTGAAGCCTCCTCAAAAGGGTGCAATCTATGAACTATGTAGTTGGCAGTGTTTTAAATTGTATTTAGTGTTTCCTTTGTTTTCTTTGCCTTTGTCTTAAATTTGTAATAAATTTGTTCTCTGTGTTCACACTGCTTGCAAGGAGGGGAGGGGGTGTTAATGTGGGACACCTTAGTAATTTATTTAGTGTTTCCCAGGTGGTCTGGATGGGGGCTTAAGCCAAGGTAAAATATATTTAGACCCCAAAATTGAACCCAATCCTTGCTGCTGCCAACTGGTGCCTGGCAAAAGGGTTACATTAAGGCTAAGATTTTCTCTAACAATTGAGCTTTTGAACTAGAGGATGAGCACTTGTTTTCAAAGGCCACCTTCTAGTGTAAGCTGCCTCTCTTCATTACTAATTCTGACAGGGTTTAGTCCCCATAGGGCTCATCTTCCCTCCTCAATATGTGTCCCTGTGCCCTACACCTGTGGCTGCCCGCAAGCTGATCTTAACTGAGCATTCATTGAATGCTTCAGATATCCTTGTTGCCAACCTAGAGCTCTTGGGACCTCTTGCATCTGTCCTTTAGCATATATACTACTATTATGCAAGTGATATATATACAACAAAAATATGTTGCTTCTCACAATGCATGAATGGCTCACACTGTGCTTGCAAGGAGCACTAACCTCAGATGAGTCCCAAAATGTAACCCTTCTGCCAAGTGGTTAATTACAGCAAGAAAGACCAAGTTGAATAAATCTAGGTTCCCTCTTGACAGATCACTAAATCTGCTTGAGCACCTATCCAGAAACATAAGAAAACTAACTGCACCGTCTCAACCACCAGAAATTTCCTATTTGGGAAAACCTGAGACTGTGTGCAAACAAAGAATTTGTTATTTAAGGGAAAAGGAACACAGTCATCAACTTGGAGAAATGTAGCAACAGGATATATATACAAACATATAATCTTTTTCCAGGAACACTTCAGTAGTAGCCAGGTTACTCCTTTCACACCTACCAGTGAGAATGTCTTGCTAGTGACCACACCACTGGGCAAATAGAAGCAGTCCAAACATCTCTTTGTAGGTGCTAGACTGATTCTTCCTGAAGGCATCATCACCCAACCTAGTTTCTAGTTCTGCTTTGTTCATTTGTTAGGTAGCCTCTCTCATTCATGTGTAGTAAGATCTGTTGCTGTCCTCAGTAATATCTCCCACTCATGGCTACTTGAGTAAGTTCACATCACTTGACCTTCTCTCAGCCCTTACTAGGAACTCACTTTCCCCAAAACCCAAGTGTACACCTTGTTATGGTAACCTCCCAACTATTACCAGAGGAACTGTGGATAAGCAGCCCGTGAAAATGAAGCTCTCTATTGCAGAGCTTTTTGCTTTCCACCAACAAAGAGCAGAGAACTCTTTCCCTATGGGAAATTCTGGCTTACATTTATAATTTTTAAGTAATATAAAGTTATATAAATCAATAACCTACCATATTTCTATGAAACTCAGTAAAGCAAAGTTTTCCTTTCAGTACAGTCTATGAGATTTTATTATTAATTTTACTGCCTGCTATTTGATTAATATTATTTATTACTTGTATTTCATTTTTAAGAAATACTGTTTTCAGTGTTCCCAGGGAGTAGGGAAATCAAAAGATAAAATGGTGGATTTAGTCAGAATATCAGCAAAAATTCCTTAAGGGCAAGATCTAATACATTATGAAACAGTGCCATGAGGGAATTGGTTGAAGCTTCATTGCTTGAGTCTTTTAAAACAGGACTAGTTAAAAGACTGGGAAGTATTCTTCAGCCACCAGTTGTGCATGGATAGGGGGATAAGTGTGGCAGCCAGCAGACACTGTTTTCCATTTTCACTCTTCATTAACTTCTCTCATGTTGCTGGCAGGGCTGTCCCACTTCCTGGCAGCTGGGAGCCACATATGTGCAGGCTGCAGTCCTGGGGGCCACCAGAGGCACAGGCCTGAGAACCAGGAGCTGTTCATATCATGGACAGCAGCCTCCAGCCCCAGGTTTTTCCAATGCCCTGCGGGCAGCCTAACACCCTCACCCTCCAGCCACGTGCACAGTGCAGGCATCCTAGCTCTCCCCACTTCCTGGCCCTCCCCCTGCAGCATAGGCAGCCTCCCCTCCCATCACACATACAAAACTCCCCTCAGCTCCCAGGCACACAAGCCCACCTGCACCTGCAGTGAGGGAGCCTGGTTCCTCCCTTCCTTGCATGCAGCATGGGCAGCCTGCCCCTCTTCCCCACATGCACAGCATGGGAACCCCAGGAGTGGGGAAGAAGTAGAGGCTGGAGGAGGGTAGAGGAGCCTGAAGAACCTGGCTGCTGCCACAGGAGCAACAGCAGGAGGGGAAGAGTGGCAGCTGGACAGGAGCCCACAGGCTACAGATTAACCCTTCAGGGGCTGCAAGCAGCATATGGGCCACAAGTTGGATGGCCCTGCTCTATAGTTTCAGTGGCATTACTCACGGAGAAAGCTACAATAGGGGTGCCAGAACAGTGCTCAGCACTAGATCAGGTCTCTCACATAGCACTACATAAGATCTCTAAGGCAAAGCTGTAGTCAGAGGGGAGCAGAACCATTTGCCACAGTGGGACCATCAGAAGGTCATTTCACCTTCTCCCCAAGCACAGAGGGGCAGCTGGCTTGCTGCTATGTGAGCTGAAGCTTACTTCTCTTCTGCCTAATCCTGCTCTGTGGCCAGACTGAAGAGAGCTAGGTACATGCATCCCCGGAGGAGTAGAAAGCAAGGGAGAGGCTTCTCTGTTCTTTCACCTGCACCATGCATCTCTGCGAAAGACAGGCACAATTTAGCCCCAGGTTACTTCTTTCATCCTTAAAGGGGCATCTCATTTGCTTTCTGCATATTTAAAAGTACTTTGAACAGAAAATCCCTCATTTTGATGTCTACACAGCATTCACATAATCATCATTATTGATGTGATTAAATACTTTTTTTCCATCCCAGACACAGCCCCTTTTGAGATTGTTAACATACCGTAGTATTCTATGTCTGTGTCTCATACCCTAGCTTTATCAGATTTGATTCTATGCTCACTCACGCTGGGTGCGTTTACATGTGATGCTACGTCACCATAATGATGCGCTACGGTGACACAGCATCGGCAGGCACAAACCATGGTGCCAACACTACATCACTATAGCAACAAGCTACCTCACTATAGTGCGTCACTGTGGTGACATGGCTGCTAAAAATAACCGTGCGCTACCAGGATGGTGCAGTAACAGCTATTACTGTGCCATCAATTAGTACTTTCTAAAGCAAGTACTAAATGACGGCGCAGTAACAACTGTGCCATGGGGGCATGTGTAGATGCACCTACTAAGTAACTCCAGTGTAATCAATAGGTTGTAATCCTACTGATTACTCTGGAGTAACACTATTGGGGCACATCTACAGGTACTATTAAGGCAAAGCAATAAACTCTAGTGCTTATCATGCTGGAGCTTACTGCTCCCAGGCACCACATTTACATATGTGCCTGGGACTGCAACATGTTGAGCCGGTTCAGAGCAGCCCCACTGGAAGGGGGCCCAGGGGCTAGCCTGACAGCCTGGGGCTACTCCCCCCCAGCTCAATGTGCTACAAAGGGAATGGCTGGGGCACTCAAGTGCGGGGCTAGCTGGCAGGCAGCCCCCGTACTGAAGCACCTTTGTGCCCAAGCCAGCCATGTCAGTGTCTACACATAAGATGCTGCAGAGTAAAAAACTTTGAAGCAGGATAGTATTTGTATTTATAAGTACTATCCTGCTGCAGAGTTAATTCATTTCCTGCAACCTAAACAAGGCCGCATGTGTAGATGCAAAACATTTACTGTGGAGCTATTTAATCTACTCTGCAGTAAACGTCTCATGTAGACGTGCCCTTGGGCCATGTCCAGACAAGCACAGACGTTTGGTTACCTGGGGACAAGTAGCAGCAGTGCAGCTTGCACCGCAACTACTTGTCCCTGGGGAACACCTGTGCCACATGAGCTTTGGCGTGCAGCAAGTTACCTTGGGGGTTGTAGGGGAGGGTTGGGCCAGCACTGTGCTGGCCCCTGCTGCCTTACCTGGGGTCCCAGGGGCCTCCCAGGGCTGCAATAACAATGATCCTGCTGGCCAGAGCTGGCTTGGGACAGCCCGGATATCCAGGGGTCAAAATAACCCATGGGGAAAAAAAACAGAGTAGTGCATGCATGGGCAGCACGCCCTTGCAGCATGGAGAACACCTGACTGTGCAGGTGGTATGTGGCACTGCAGACATGTTGGTGGCACCACATATCACATGGCTGCATTTGTCTGGATGTGCCCTCGGAGTGTAAACACTATTACAGTATGTGCAGCCTAGAAGTTACTGCAATATGAAAAGCCTCTGTATTTGTTCTGTTTGCTTCTGCAGCAAAACCAAAAAACACAGTCTTCTAGATAACAAAATTTTGCACCAGTTACTTTTTCAACGGGTGGACTGAGTCATTGCTGCAGAACATAAATACCAATAAGATCACAACCACATATTTAGTAAAGTAATACTTAGATTCAACCAGCATCATATACCAGCATTTCAAAATGCCTCACATGTTGATGTTTCTTGCTGTACTGCTCTGTAACCTATTCAGTTCCTGTTGAACCATACAAAGCAGATGACTGGAAGTGATTAAAATTTTCATCTGCCCTCCAGTCTCAATGGTGTCATTCAAGCAGAAAGCTCAGAGCCCTTTCAAACCCACCACACATTCCCTAAATTGGGGATGTTTTCATAATAAATTCACATTTTAGCACAAAAGCCAAGAATTGCCATTGTGCAAATGACATGCTTCAATACTAATTTTACTATTCAGATCCAAATCCTCTATTTCCTGTTGACTCTCATTGCTTAGTCTAATATCATGCTAAGCCCTTCTAAGTTGAAAGGATAGGCTAAATAACCCCCTCTTCAGTAAGTGGAATTACACACATTTAATAGAGTAGAAATTTTTGGCCCACAGTGCATGCAACTATTGTATGTAATTCAGTAATAAAAAACAAATGCAAAAACTTCATTTTACACACAAACACACACATACACAGTATATTCTCTTTAGTTTCATTAAGGACACAGTAAGAAAATCTAAATAAAAATGGGGGGCTGTGGCGTAGACACCCACACAGTCAAATGGGTCACCAACTGGCTGGAGGGCCGCACCCAGAGGGTGGTAGTGGATGGGTCCTTCTCAACCTGGAAGGACGTGGGCAGTGGGGTTCCACAGGGCTTGATCCTCAGGCCCGCACTGTTCAACATCTTCATCAGTGATTTGGACGACGGGGTAAAAAGCACCCTGTTCAAATCCACTGATGACACTAAGATGTGGGGGGACGTGGGCACACTAGAAGGAAGCAACAGGCTACAATCTGACCTAGAAAAGTTACAAGGGTGGGCGGATGAGAATAGGATGGGTTTCAACACAGACAAGTGCAAGGTGATGCACCTGGGGAGGAACAACCGGCACCATACCTACAGGTTAGGGAACTCCCCTCTTGTCAGCACAAAGGCAGAAAAGGATCTTGGAGTCATCATT